ATGACCCAAGACCAACTGACATAGGATCCTCCCGACGGCTGGCCCGATCTTGAAGCCGGTTCCTGCAGGAGAACGAGACATGAAAAGGAAGAATGGAGAAGTGGAAGGAGGAATAGGGAACGAGGAAAAGGCTAAATAAGAACTGTTTATTGTGTGTGTGTGTGTTGTTGTTTTTGTTGTTTTGGTTGTTGTTGCAGATTGAAAGGTGGAATACGGAATAAGGAGCAAGGAAAGAGATATATGATGATTGTGTGTTTGTCTATTTCGTTATTTGTCTTTATTTCATTCATCTATTATATACGGAAACAAACATAATAAATATATCAAATGAAAGGAAATAAAAATATTAATTGACAAGTGTTTCATTCATATACTATAGTCTACATGCCCACATGCATTTACCTACAACCGCACACACACACAACAGCAACAAAGACAAACATAACCATACACACACACAACAACAACAACAACAACACAGTAACAATAACAACAACAAAGACACACATAACCACACACAGTCTCCACAACCACACAACCTTAGGGACACCACACGCACGCTCGCCCGACAACATCTGACAACGAAAATCTGACTGTTGAGGAGAAAATCCGTGGCACATCTAGACTCCAGCTTTAGTACACACGAGTCCCACTAATTCGGACACGGGCAGACAACCCGCCACATACATACCCGAAAATCCGGCAGAGAAAATGATGTTCTTGTATTTCGAGTGACGGTCTATGACGCATTCCTCGTCCGGCGTAGTCTGCGGTTGGATAGAGAGCGCGGGGTCAGAGGGTGTTTGTTGGTGTTGGGGTGGGTTATTGTATTTTGGTGTTATTTGTTGTTATACATACATACTTACACACACACACACGAAAGATAGATAGAGAGAGAGAGAGAGAGAGATAGATAGATAGATAGAGATAGAGAGAGAGAGAGAGAGAGAGAGAGATAGATAGATAGAGATAGAGAGAGAGAGAGAGAGAGAGAGAGAGAGAGAGAGAGAGAGAGAGAGAGAGGAGAGATACATATAGACACATGTACACACGTACACACACACACACACACACACACACACACACACACACACACACACACACACACACACACACACACACACACACACACATATACACACACAAACACAGGAGAGAGAGAGAGAGAGAGAGAGAGAGAGAGAGAGAGAGAGAGAGAGAGAGAGAGAGAGAGAGAGAGAGAGAGAGACAGACAGACAGAGAGAGAGAGAGAGAGAGAGAGAGAGAGAGAGAGAGAGAGAGAGAGAGAGAGAGAGAGAGAGAGAGAGAGAGTGAAAAAACAAAAAAAATATTCCTGCTTCAAACCCCCCAAAAGAGAAACAGACACAGAGACGAAAGTATGTTAAGCGAAATAACCAACATGGCCATGCTCATACTGAAGATAAACGACCCTCATATTTCAAAAGCAGTCGCATAGCTGGCACACGATGCAACCAATTCTTTGTCTTCCAAGTCCGATTTAACTCGCTTGCAGTAGCATGTTGCACGCACATAAATAAAAACTTAAATACACATACGTCACTGTAAGACACCACACTACAGGCAATCAAGCATGTATGAACGGATGCTATAAATAAGAACATGAGTACACACACATCGCTACTGTGTACGCAGATAAGAAACGTACGTGTGTGTGTGTGTGTGTGTGTGTATGTGTGTGTGTGTGTGTGTGTGTGTGTGTGTGTGTGTGTGTGTGTGTGTGTGTGTGTGTGTGTGTGTGTGTGTGTGTGTGTGTGTGTGTGTGTGTGTGTTATCATTATTACTATAACTATTATTATCATAATTACTATTGTTATTATTATTATTTTTCCTATCATTATTATCATTAACTTTAATTTTATCATCATTACCGGTATTGTCATCATCATTATCGTTATCAATATTATCATTATCATCATTACTATCATCATTATTAGACCTATTCATCATTACTACTGATAATGACGATGATAATGTTGGTGATGATGACGTGGATTATGATGATGTGATAAGATAATCTTAATAACAAAAAAATGAATAAATAAATAAAAGCAAAGTTCTCAAACTCGAAATATAATCAGACACAAACGAAGTAATCAGAAAAAAAAATATATATATTGCACGGTAATGCAAACATCCCAGTACGTTCTACTTCAAAGTCTACCGACCGACGTTAGGGAATTAACTCTTAGATTTCTTTTATAAATTCAAACGGGTCATTATACCTAAATTATAGAGATTATATGAACGAAAAAAAAAAATAATCGCTTAACATGAAAATTCAATCTGTTGCAATTTCAACAAAAGTCGGCAGATGGGCATTCAAAGGCAATCTATTTTATTGCTTTTACTCCGAAATTGCAATGCTAACAACAACAGTTTTAACTTTCAAAATGCCAATATTCACGGAAGAGAATACTGGATGGAATGATGTCTCAGACTGTATTACAACTGTATGCATGAATATGAGAGAGAGAGAGAG